AGATGCTGTTGCTCCATCCTGGCTCAATAAATGTCCCTGGGGAGGGGCTTGACACTGCAATTTCCAGTGCTACAGCAAAGAGCTGCTCTTGGATAAACCACAAACAGCTTTGATCTGATCTGTCCCTGCTTTCTTTTGCCTCAGAGGTTGAAAGATCTCAAGCAAAGGGAATTTGCTCGCAATGTCTCGTCGAGATCCCGGAAAGATGAGAGGAAGCAGGAGAAAGCCCTGCGGCGCCTGCACGAGCTGGCTGAGCAGAGGAGGCAGCCTGAGTGGTGAGTCTGGGTGGTCCCCAGCACCCCTGGAGCCTGGGGGGCTGCAGCCCTGGGCTGGGCTGGCATTCCTGCCCAGGCTTTGAGGACAAAGCTTCCCACTGGTGCAGGAGACTCATGCTGTGGTTTTGGTAGGAGTGAATTCACTAAACTGATCATGCAGAGCATCCCCAAATTGCATTATCCAGCAATACATTTTTTTCAGTAATTTAATATTATTAAAAACTTGGAGTGGTTGTATAATAATATTTTAATGCATGAGTCTGGGTGCAAGAGCACTTGAGCTGTGTAAGATGGTCTCTGCTGAGGGATGGATCCTCCTGCAGAGGGACAGGGACACCAATCAGCTGTGTTTTCTCTCCCCTGTTCCAGTGCTCCTGGAAGTGGGCCCATGTTCAGGACCACCACGGTGGCTGTGGATGAGGAAGGTGGAGACGACGATGATTCCGCAGCCAACAGCGGCTCCTTTGTCCAATTGAGCTCAGGCCAGGCCACAGAGATGACCACGGACAGAGGATTCCTGAACACAGGACAAGGCACTGTGATGCCAGGCCAGACACCCACCCAGGGGGCACAGGCCATCAGCTTTGGCATTAAGAGCTCTGTGGGAGCTCCTCTGCAGAAGATTGGGGTGTCCTTTTCCTTCGCCAAGAAGACCCCGGTGAAGCTGGAGACCATCGCTTCTGTTTTCAAGGACCATGTGGATGAGTCCAATTCTGCAGATGGGGCAAAAGGTGATGAGAGGGGGTCCTCAGAGGCTGGCAGCCTGCAGAAGTCTGGGGAGGGTGAAGGCACCAATAATTCTGATGGCAAGGCAGAGGATGATGACCAGCACGACAAGGAGAGTGGGGCTCTGGCCAGCACCTTATCCAAACTGAAAAAGATGAGACGAGAAGATGGACCAACAGCTGTGGAACCAGAATATTACCACTATGTTCCCCCAGCCCACTGTAAAGTAAAGCCCAACTTTCAGTTCCTGCTTTTCATGAAGGCTACTGAGCAAACAGAAGCAGAAAATGCGAATAAAAAAAACGCGCACGAAGCAAAAAAGGGGAGTTCCCCCAAACCCAAACCCAGCAAGCACACGGAAAAGGCTGCTGAGAGCACGGGGCAGCAGAAGGAGCAGAGTACTACTGAAAGTGCAGCTCAGCAGGGCAAAACAGAACGAAAAGATATCCCAGAGAATGAAAATACACAGGAGAGCAAGCACCTTCCAGAGGGCAATCCCCCCGAGCCAGACACTGCTAAAGAAGCTCCTCCTCCTGCCTTGGGCTGCAGAGATGGCTCTGAGGGACCAAAGCACCCCACGGGACCTTTTTTCCCTGTTCTGAGTAAGGACGAGAGCACAACGCTGCAGTGGCCTTCAGAGTTACTCATCTTCACCAAAGCTGAGCCCTCTGTGTCCTACAGCTGCAACCCCCTGTACTTCGACTTCAAGCTCTCCCGTAACAAGGATGCAAAAGGGAAAGGGGCAGAGAAATCCAAGGATCCAGGGGGGCTTTGTAAAGACAACACTCAGAGCACGGAACCTGGTGAGGTGAGCAAAGCCAAGGAGGCTGAAAGTGTAGGGAACAGTTCTACTCAAAAAATGGAAAACAAATCCCAGAGCAAGCAGGAGTCCGGTGTGGGAAGCGTCAGTAAGGGAGAGGGAGAGGACAGCAGTAAGGGTATAATGGGTAAGAGTAAATCTGGAAGGTCCCATAAACACAAAAAGAAAAAGAAGCACAAAAAGTCCAGCAGACACAAACGCAAACACA